AACAGGAAACTGACGGGGGGCTCTGGCTGCAGCTCTGGCTTTGGCTCCAAAGGTGGAGGCTTTGGAAGAGAAGGGACAGTGATGGCTGAAGGGCACTCAGCGGGTCCAAGGCCTGCCCATGCCCTGTGTCCCTGCCCACATCGCTGATTGTCAGGGACCCACTCCACACTCTCCCACTCCCTAGCCATGGAGTAAAGCTGGGGTGACAGTGACAGTTGCCCAGGCAGTCCCCAGCCTGGGAACTGCCCTCTGCTCTCCATCCCAGTGAGCCCAGACTCCTTGCAGATGGAAGCTGCAGTTGGCGGGTGGTGTGGGGAGAGGTGGCCAAAATCCCCTTAGGCCCAGCCACCCCGCCTCTGCCTGGGCTTTCAGGGTCCTGTTGCGCCCGGTCACCTCTGCATTCTGCTCCCTGAAGACAGGAGAGCTTGGCAGCTTCTGCTGCTCCTCAGTCGACTGCACGGAGGTCAACTCCAACAAAGGCGCGGTTAAAGTCCTCTGCCTGCCCCTGAGGGCCTAAGAGGACAAAGCATGGGGTAAGCCTAGTACCCTTCAGCCTTAGGGGGTTCCCTGAGGCAGTTTCCAGCCCAAGAGCAATGAGCCAGAGTTCTGGTCACCCACCAGAGTTAGCCAACAAAATACAAGATTCCTAGCCAAAGGTACATCAACTATGCAAGGAATAATTTTCTGGTATGAGTAGGTCCCACAGAACACTGGAAACCCAGACCACACCCACTGCCCTTGAGGTGATCTAAGCCATGCTTACAGGACAGAGCAGCTCTGCCCTGCAGGGTTTCCAGGTGCCAATCTCCACCCACAAGGCCGTAGGATCTCTGTGCTGCTCCCAGGTGAGGCAGCCCCAGATACAAGGCTATTACCATGTCAGTGGGGGTGGGTGGTCAGCCCCACAAACACCGAGATCTGACTATGTATAAGATCCTGCCCTGAACGTTGGGAAGAAACAAAAATCAGTCTCCATTAAGATGACATTGGACTGAGCGTGAAAGCCCTGAGCCCCAATCCTTTGCTGCTGGATCTGGTCAGACTTAGGGTGACCCCCTCCATTGGGTTCAGAAGCTGAGTCTTTATGGGAGAAGGCTGCCCATTTTTCTCCCTTGGAGCAGCTGGTGGATTCAAACTGCTAACCTTGGATACAGTGTGCAAGGCTACATGTCTGAGCTTCACCACCAGTGCTCCCTCATACTACTACCTGTGGCGCTTGTGTGCTGTCGAGTCAGAAACCACTCACAGCTGACCCTCCAGCGGGTTTTCAGGGACAGTACATTACAGGGGAGACGACGGCTCAATCTTTTTCCAGTGAAGCAACTGGTGGATTTGAACTGCATGCTTTGGGCCGGCAGTGGAACTCCTTACCACCAAGCCAGCTACCAGTTGTTATTGTTGTTATGTGCCATCAGGTGGGAACTAACTCTTCAGGGGGCTTTCAGAGGCTGCCCGCCTTTCTCCCATGGAGCAGCTGGTGGAGGAAAACCACCAGACCACCAGAGTCCCTATTACTTAGTGGAACATATTTTCATTCTCCTCTGTCAGGTTCCCACACTACACAGGTCCTACTGTTGTTTTATAGATAAGGAAACAGGGATAGAGAGGCTTCAATGTTCATAGGGTCTCTATGAGTCATACTCGACTAGAAGGCAATCAACAGCAGCTGTTTAGTTTTATAGCTAAGGAAACAGGGATAGAGAAGGTCAGTAACTTGCCTGGGGGTCACACCACCAGTTACGGGCAGTGCCAGGATTCAAACCCTGCAGGTCTTGGGCTCTGTGCCCTTTTCCACTTCTGGGTCACTATACAGGGGCAGGTGGGAAGAAAAGCTGGGCAGAGGTGACACGGAGCCACACCTACCTGCTCAGGATGCCCCTGGTAAGACAAGGGCAGGGCAGAGCACTTGAGGTAGAAAGCAGGCTCCTTTACTTCCAGCGGGTGTGGGCTCGGGTGCAGCTTGGTGCCTGTGGTGGCTCTGTGGGCTCTTGCCTTGGAATCTTGGGTCCAAGCCTTGTCCTGGATTTTCTGCTGGCCCTGCTGAGGGAGTTAAGGTTCTTGGTTTGGACAGTTAGTTGCCAGGGAGCCCACTTCAACTCACTGAGACCCCCCCCCCATGTTCAAGGAGAATTGCTGTAAGGGATCTATTGACTATCGTCCAAAGGGGAGCCGATCACCAGGCCTTTCTTCTGCAGTACCTGTCGATGGTGGGCTCAAATTACCACCTTAGGCCAGCAGTCAAGCATACTGTTTGCGTCACCAAAGGTCCTTGATCTGAGCAGAAAAGTTTATGGGAAGAACTAGGGATCCACAGACTGAAGTTAGAACCTGATTCAAGAGGGCAGGGGGCAGTTGCCAGTGGCCAGAACCACATTAGGTCCACCATGAAATTAGGTTACAGCAGTTGGCTGTCTCCACGCTGGGTGATGGAAGCTTGTGGCACCACAGCTCCTGGACACATGGTGTCATCTCTGTGACCTTTGCCCTCCCATGGACACCTGGTTGGTAGGGCTGACTGGTCTGAGTCCTGGCTGCTGGGGGCAGCAAAAGTGTCGGCCTCTTCCTCTGGAGGAAGGCGGAGTCCTGCTGATTCGCATGGTAAGGAGCTATGACAAAGGACGTTTGATGCCCATCTTTTATGCTATCACGTGGATGCCAGTCACCGGAGTTTTTTTCCATAAGGAATGACAGTCCACATTTCAACTGAAGCAGCTCAATTCTGGCCTCATGTCAGGCTGGCGGGAAGATCCACTCTGCGATCACAAGAGTAGGGAGAAGTTGGAGTCAATGCCGCAGGCCTTAGAGCTGACGAAGGAGCGGGAGAGGCAGAGCTGCTCGCAGCAGGGTGATGACCACGAAGGGGAAGCTGTACAGTCAAGGGCCTGGGAGCTCAGGTGGTGAGCTGTCAGTCACAAGCAGAAAAGGCTGCTCGAGATCAGGTCTGAAGCTCGGGCGAGACTGACATGTTCACACCAGGAAGCAGCTCAAGGAGTTGACTGTCCAAGAGAAGTGGGCTGGAAGGGGGCTCCGGGGATGATCTAGGAGCTCGGCTGTCCAAGGCGAATTCCATCAAGGATCTGGCAGTAACATTCCCTAAGTATGACTGAGGATGGTGGCCACAATCCAGGCTGGACAGGCGGTCACTGGTCACCTCCATGTAAGCAGCCTGAGGGATGCTCACAATCAAAGGAAACAGAACACCTTTAGGACATTCTTCGAAGTTTGACCCTGGAAGGAGGAAGCTATGGCAGTAGCTGGAATAGCTGCAGGCTAAGATGGTTTTGACAATAAACACAGGACTGTTTAGAACCTGTGGGCAAAAGAGCAAGCAAAGGCTGGCCTTGAAGAGGGGGTGGCTTTGCTTTCTGGGTAGTAGATCCTAATGGGCTTGGTAATGCTGGAAAGACCAGACAGCCTGTGTTTTAAAGACCAGGAGGCAAGATGTGCAGATAGTTCAGAGGAAGTTGGCTTGTACTGCCCGCCTCAAGTTGCATGTGTGTTCCTGGACCTCAGATTCAGACCCACCCAATTTTCAAGAATCAGGCAGTGTCACAGACAAGGGACGAGAGGAAGGCCAGCATGAGAGAAACTGAGCAGAACTGACTGCCCAGAGGCAGGTGGTTCCCCGGGCCTGACAGCCTCATCCCTGCCCTCGGCCCAGTAAGAACCACAATCTACAAACAGGCAGAATGTTTTCAATCAGGTTTTTTATTTTAAGCAATCCCAACTTTTCCTCCAGCCCCACATTCTTAGTTCCTCAGAGACAGATTGTGCAGTGAGGACGGGATTCCACCCCATCAGTGGACGCTGCACCTCAGCAGGACGAGTGTGTGGCCCAAGAGCTCCACCCACTGGAGTGAGAACAAAGGGCCCTTGTGGTGGGGATGTCTGTGGGGGGCCCGAGTTCAGCGCCTGACAGAGCATAATGTGCTGGACCCATGACCTGAGACTCCCAGGCCCCACTAGGCCTGTGCTGATGAATTTGTGCACCTCAATTATGCACCCATCTCCCCAGTGTTCCACTGCTCCCACCCTCTCCACTTCTAATTCCAACAACTTGTAAACCCCAAAGTTAGGAAGGCCTGGGCTTCGACGCAGTGGCCGGTGACAGGGCAGCCACGCTGCTGACCAGTTTTGAGAGAAGGGGAGGGAGATGCTCTCAGCACCTTCCCCAGCAGCGTTCTCATCCCACACATTGTCAGGAAGCTAAAAGGAAAACTCCTAGTAAGTTCCACCCCTTTCTAATTAAGTGCAGTGCAGTAAATGTTGATAAGCCCTCCCGTCCTTCCAGGACGGCTCAAGCTTCAAGAACCGAGCAGATGCAGTGTTTGCTAAGAAAAGCGTGTACCTGACAACAGGAGGCACACCTGTCTCAGGCCTGACTAGTGGGGCAGTGGGGTGGGAACACCCAGTCCCGACTCTTCTAGTTGTCCAGGTGAGACCCAGTGAGCTGCAGGTTCCGTGGCCACCATGAGGAAAGGCGACACCACATTTGCATCTACAAGCCATATTAACAGCAGAAAACAGAACTAGATAAACGCAGCTCCCAGTAATCAAGCTTGTGGCCTGAGAACGCAACATGGCTTCCTCTCCTCTAAAACACAGGTTGTGCACACACGGGGCCGGTTTCCTCCTCAAAGTTCAAACTGTCCCCTGACCCAAGGTTCTCTCCTGAGCCATTTGTAGCATCTAAGAGGAATCTCGTGGAAATAGACTCTTTACAGAGCTAAACTATGGCTGGGGACTGAACCCCCAACAGAAGGCTCTGCAGAGAGAACAGGGAGAGCCCATCTGCCCCTCAGAGCTCAGAACAAATGTTCATTTAGGTAGAGGTGCCCTCACCTCCAGCCCCAGCCTGTAAGTCAGATCCTCAGAGGCAGAGGCCAGTGCCCCATTTCCTGATTCATGAGTCCGAGCCCTCAGTGATGGGCTCTAAGCATCTCCCCCAGGAAGTTATGTAGGGGGGGGGGAGCCTGGCCAGGTGTCCCCCCCAAATCATCTCATTCAACCAGGAGATCAAACTGCTCAGCAGCTTCAAATTCAGCATTCATGGCCGCAGCCCACTCATCCAGCTCGGATTTCTGGAGGAAGAGAAATGGGGGGCAGGTAAGTGGGGCAGGGACCCATTGGCTCGGAGCTTTCCACCCATGCCCTGCGTGTGAGGCCAGCCCACACGTCTTCTGATTCCAGCAGCTGAGGGAAGCCCCCGACACTCACTCACCAAGATCTCTGGTAGTTTCTTCTTCTTCCGTTTCTCTTTCACGGCCGGAGGGGAGATCCCAGGGAGAGTGGTGTCTGGGGCCCAGGCCTTCATGGGGTAGCTGGTGACCTCCGATGGCTTCGAACACACCACAGGGGAGACGGTGGCCAAACTGTCTTCTGCCAGAAGTCTCTCAAAGCCAAAGCAGGTGCGACGGCCAGGCGTGGAGGTGGAGGCGAAGCCCTCCAGCCGGCTGTAGGACCGCCTGACCTTCTTGGACATCTCCAAGTCTCTGTCATCCAGGTTTTCCCTCTGGGGGCTGGCTTCCAAATGTTGGGAAACCAGCACATGGGTTGGGGCTGGAGTCACGGGCACGCTACTCGTCTTGAAGAGGTTCTCCCGGGCCGGCTCCTTGTCAGGAGGAGGGTTGTTCTCTTTCTCTAAGAAAAAAGCGATCTGCACCAGGAGGGAAGAGAAGCCTCCCTGTTACTCGGCCACACACCACCTCCAGGAAGCATGGACCCACAGGATACACACTTTTAAAGGGGACAGGAGCAGAAGGCCTGGCAGTCAATCAGGACTCGAGACAAACATGGGGAAGTAAAATAGAAAGTGCCTGCTTCTTAGGCGTCCACTCTTATGACCCAAGACTTGTTACCACCAGCTGGTTACAGGCCAGCCCTGTCTGGAGAATGACAGGAATCCAGCCACCTCTTTCTAACACAAACCCAAGCCTGATTCAAAGTGACACGCCCCACACCCCCCAAATGGGTTTCCAAGATGTGAATCTTCACGGGAGGGGCGGATTTGAAGATCTGAACCACCGACACATTATGCACTCACTATACCACCAGGGCAGGTCTTCCAACCCAGTCTAACAACCCTGAGCTGCTCTTACTGTCTCTTCCACTCTCCTCTCTGGTCCATGTGCCACAGAGTCAAGAATGATTTCCTTGCAAAACATCCCTCTAGCCTCAAATTCATGTTTTCATTATTTGCTGCATGCCAGGCAGCATGGCCAGGAATAAAAGCAGATAAATCCTTCGTCCCCAGGGAGCTTCCATTCTAGCAAGAGAAAACAGCCTACAAATAAGACAAACCACACAGCAGCTTAGAAAGCATTGCGTGCGGCAGAGAAACAGAACAGATGGGGGAGCCCAGGGGGTGGAGGGAATGCTAAGTGGGGGTCAGCACAAGCTTCACTGAGAAGGTGCCATTTGAGCTAGAACTTGAAGTGAAGGGGTCCTTGTGGCATAGTAGGTAAATAATAGGCTGTAAGATTGGAAGTTCAAGTCCACCAGCCTCTCTGTTAGAGAAAGACGAGCATCTGTCTCCTGGTTAAGATGCGTGGTCTTGGAAATGTGATGGGAGGTCTCCACGAGAGTGGACAGCAGTGGGTTTTTGGGAGGTGAGGGAGAGTCATGGTTTCCTAGGGGAAAAGTGTTCTAAGCAAAGGGAACAGAAAGTACAAAGCCCTGAGGCAAAGGAGCAGTGAGGGTGAAAGAACAGCCTGTCCGGTGCCCAAGTAACCGAGTGAGACACGAGAGAGGCCACAGCAAGGCTATGAGCAGGAGGGGCCCAACCTGATGCGCACACTGAGGGTCACCTGTTGCTCCTTTCCTCGGGGAGGCCTTCGCTATCACTGACCTGGGTCGGCTCCCCTCATCTCTGCTAGGGCCTTTCCGGCACAACGTCCACCTTTATTTTCTGTCTAGTAATCACCAACACACTCAGTACCAAGAGGGGCAGGGACGTATTCAGGTAACACCCCACGTCAACAATGCACATCAGCGTTAGCAGCGGCCAGTGTCAGGGAGGGGTGGGCAGGACAAGTCCTTGCAGGAAATAGACTGATCATCAATCCAGACATTTCCCAGTCACAAGCTGTGGGGTGTGGGGCTGCCCCTCTCGCCCCCTGGGTCCTGGGATGAGCAGAGACAGAATGGAAGTCATTCCTGACTCTTATCTCTTCTACAGCCGAGCTGTCAAGCAAGTCACAAGGCTCTGTCTGCCCAGTAGTGTGTGATTCCGCCCAGCCAGCCGGAAGGAGTGGTTGCTGTGGGCACAGAGATAATCCCGAAAACATCAACCAACATACGACAGACACACCAACAACATCCACACAGAAATGCTGTCACAGGGACAGCCTCTGGGAAGAAGTATCCGGGAAGTCACCACAGTTCCTCCTAAAGAACCACTATGCCACCTTTTACTTGAAAATGATACAGGAGATCTGTCACCATCAAGGTGCATTTTGTTGCTTCAAGTAGCCCTGGAACACTGAAAACATGAATAAATGTGGGCAGGGCTCCAAGGGCCACAATTGCTCAGTTCCCACAGCCTCGGGGGTGGGATGGGATCAGTCATGCATATTCAGTGACCAAGCACTGACAGGATCAGCACAAACAACAGCCGGTCCCTGGGGACAACAGAAGCATGACAAGCAGGACCTCTCCCAAGCTGCTACAGAAGCACTGCTTTGCTGGTATCCCTCTGCTTGAAATAAAGGGACAAGTACAGCACTGGTCTCCGTACTAGATAATGATGAGAACAATGAGCCTCTGACTCAACTAGCTTAGAGTAACTAACTCTGAAAAAGGGTGGAAAAGCAGAGGCTGTCGTCAGTCCCAGGTGGAAATTCCTGCTGATTTCTGCCATGCAGTTACTTCACTTCAGGGTTCCTGTCCAGTCCTCCTACCTGGGCTCAGTCCTTACCGCAGCCTTTCTCAAAGCCATGCACCACATTTCCCATGAGGTTTTCTAAAACATTTACATTTAACCCAGTTACTACCTTACTTAAGACCCTCCAAGTACTGGCGATGCAACCTCTGGGGAGACTAAGCTCCTGAGCATGGCTTTTAGGGCTCAGGAGGACCTGTTTGGCCTTAGCTCCCGACTGGCTTGCTGTGGACACCCCAAACAAGCTGATTCCCCCGCCCCCCTGTCTTGAGGTAGTAGTAAATACAGCTTCCTGTGCTCGCTTCGGCAGCACATATACTAAAATTGGAACGATACAGAGAAGATTAGCATGGCCCCTGTGCAAGGATGACACACAAATTCGTGAAGCGTTCCGTATTTTAAAAAATTAAAAAAAAAAAAAAAATACAGCTTCCTTGGCCTAGGACACCAAATTTTCTTTAAAGACTTCATTTAGGTATTTTTTTCTGTCACAAAACATTCCAAATCACCCAGTCTGGGTTATGCGATCTCATAGTAATACTTTTTTAATTCTTCTGCAAGCCGTTATTATCACTTGTTAGTTTGTCTTTCTCCTTATTTAACTATAAGCTCCATGAGGTTCTCAAAGGTAGTATGTGTTTCTCATTCCCTGGATTTCCAGAAAGGACGACTTAACTTTCAAACAAGGAACCTGAGGTGGTGGCCAGGAACAGTAGAGAGAGAAGGTATTTCTTAGAATCAACCACACAAGATGCCTCAAAAAGGCAGCATCTCCCCAGGGATAAAGCTCAGAGGGCAGGCAAAGGTAGCAAAGAATGAACGGAAACAGGACATACAGGGAGAGCGCAGAAGAGCCCTCGTACACCGCAGGGCTGGTGATCAGTGTCCCTGAACAAAATGTGCATTTACTGTTGAATGGGAAACCAACTGATTCTGTAAAACTTTCACTAAAATGACTGTTGTTGGTGGTGGTGTGTACATCGAGTCAGAACTGACCCTCTGGCAGCTTTTCAGAGGCAGTTAATTCCACCGGAGGAGACTGCCCCCATCCAGCAGCTGGTGGATTTGAACCATGCCCTTCGGGCTTATAGTGCAACTTCTTACCACTAGGCCACCAGAGCTCTCAAATGACAATAAAAAGGTGATTGGTTTTTGTTTTTTGTTTTTTTTTTTTTATGTGTGTGCCGTCAAACCGGATCTGACTGGTACAGGAGGCGACTGTTCCTCCTTTTGCAAAGCATCTGGTAGATTTAAACCGTGTACCTCTAAGGCGCATTGCCATGGGAAAGTCTGCTGTTAGGGACCTCTCCAAAGTACTGAAGAGCAATGGTGTCTCTCTGGAGACTAAGGTACGTCTGATACAGGCCATGGTCTTCGCAATCACCTGTTATGCATCAGAGAGTTGGACAATGACCAAAGAGAATAGAAGGAGAATTGATGCCTTTGAGCTGTAGCGCTGGAGAAGAGTATTGAGAATACCATGGACTGCTAGGAAAACAAACAGATTTGTCTTGCAAAGGGTTAAACCGGGTGGCTCCTTGGAGGCAAGGATTCTGAGGCTCCGTTTAACATACTTTGAACATGTTGTGAGGAGAGACCGGTCCTTGAAGGACATCATGCTTGGGCGGGTGGAGGGACAGCGCAGGAGGGGAAGGCCCTCTATGAGGTGGATTGATTCAGTGACTGGGGTAATTGGGATGGGAGTGTCAGAGACAGTGCAATTGGCACAGGACAGAGCAGAGTTTAGGGCTGTTGTACATAGGGTCGCTATGAGTCACAAGCGACTGGACGGGCACATAACAACAACCACCACCACCTCTGGGATTGCAGTGCAGCTTCTTGCCACTAGGCCACCAGAGCTCGCCAATAAAAAGGTTGTTTTTTTTTTTTAATTTTATTTGTGTGTGTGTGTGTGTGTGTGTGTGTGTGCGCGCGCGCCATCAAATCAAATCTGACTGGTACAGGAGACTATCCCTCCTTCTCCAGCAGAGCATCTGGTGGATTTGAACCATCGCCTCAGGGATTGCAATGCAGTTTCTTGCCACTAGGCCACCAGAGCTCCCGTTTTTTAAGACATAAATAAGAAGGAGGCAGTCTTGGAGATGACTCGTTGTCTCCCAGATCTGTGTAATAGAGTGCTTACGGATACTGAAAAGAAATAAATAAAAAATGACGGTATATGCACAAAAAATGAAATTTAAAAAATAAAATAGGAACGACTTCCAAATGACTTACAACAGATACAATTAAAAGCTAAAACAAGACAGTTTAGAAATAAAGAATAGTAAAAAAAAAAGAAAGAATAGTTAGGGATTGGCGTGGATTTTCAAAGCTGCCTGGGATGGAGCTGGGAGCTAACTGGACCTCCACCTACAAGGTCCACAGGGAGTAACTGAGACCCACAAGGCATGCAAACGTCCGAGGCGTTCAGAAGACAAACTGCTCCAAAATACTGCGCCACAGCTCCAGCTCCAGTCTGACCCGCCTCCGCCCTAAACCCAAGACGAAGGGCGACCCCACAGACTCACCCTCGGGCTCCTGCGAGGCGTGCTGACCGCGGCGATCTGCGGAGACCGCATCAGTAAGTCACAGCGCCAGCCCCCAGTTCTGGCCCCCCCAGCCCACAAACCCCCGCAGCGCTCACCTCTACTGCACGAGCCACAATCTTCTTCAGGACGATGGGCTTTCTGGCCGGGGTCGCATGGGGTGCCTGGGCAGGAAGAAAGGTGGGCGTTGAATCCCACAGGGGTCCAGGGACCTCGGTGCAGGTGAAGACCCGAGAACAGGAGGACTCACCTTCCGCGAGGTTTCAGGTACAACGCTGGGAGGGCTGGAGCCTGATAACCGCTGGGACCTCCGCAGAGGCTTGGCAGAGGGGGACGCAGCCTCTGGGGGACAGAAAAAGAAAAAGCCAAGAGGTAAGGGAAGCCCGCAGTCACTGTTTGGGGAACAGGTTCCGAAGAGAGCGAAAGAAGGCAAAGAAGGTTCTCAATCAGGCCCCTTACGCTCCCGACCAGCCGGATCGTCCGTGGGTCCCGCCGGAAGGGGGGGCCTTCTCGCCCGGGCTCGCGGCGCCCCAGCAGCCCAGCCTCTGTCTGCTGCCGCCCTCCGCTCACCGGGACGCCGGGCGGCCCCTGCGGACCGCGTCTCCCTCTCAGACATGGTCGGCTTGGGGCTCGATCTTCTCCGCCAGCGCCAGCACAGACGCGCGCCCAGCAAGATCGTTCTCGCTACGGGAAAAGGTTCGAATTACCCGCCCGACTCACAGGAAGCGGAAGTGACTCGATCAGAGAGAGCAGCCCGGCTCTAGCCCGCCCCCCAGCGGACGTCTAGCGTCCGCCGGGAGGCGTGCGGAGACGCGATGGCGTCATCAGCGCGCGCCGCACCCGGAAGAGACGTGGCAGCGAAGGGGCTAATCCGAGCGGCTGGAGCTAAAGGGTGCGGAGCTGGAGCTCTGCTGAGCACAGTGTCCGCCCTTCCGCGCTTCGAGCCACCGCAAGCGCCCGTCGGGACGGTGCCGCGACCGATTAACACGGTCCGGAGGGGGCAGGGCGGTCTGGAGAGTTGGTGAGGGCGGGGCTAAGAGGGGGTGGGGCTGCGGAGGGGTCTGGGGAAGAGGGACCGGTGGTCCAGAAGAGACTCTGAAGGCGGGTCATCGCTCAGACTAGGAGGACAGGGGTCCTGGAGAAATGTAGGGTCTCCCGAAGTGGGGTTTAAACAAGGGGTGTGGCCCGGGATAGAGAGGATTGGTGAGCAAGTATTTGAGGTTGAGAACGAATTTGAGAAGTGTCTAGAGGCATCGGGATTGGAAAGGAACAAATCGCTGGGAACTCAATGACAGTCCTCAGTGGTTGGCCCCCTGCCAACTCAGGCCCTTTCCCCAGGGTCGACCATGGGACTTTGCAAGTGCCCCAAGAGGAAGGTGACCAACCTATTTTGCTTCGAACATCGGGTCAACGTCTGCGAGCACTGCATGGTAGCCAACCACACTAAGGTGGGACCTTCAGGAGAGCGGCTAAACGGGACGTTTGTGGGGACAGGCTGTGTGGGCTTCCTCCCAGTGAGTAACTGAGGGACCTCACACTAGAATGGAAGATCCACGAGAATAAGGCCTTGGTTTTCCTTGTTCACTGCTCGATTCCCAGCACCTAAGACGCAATCTGGCCCAAAGTGTGCTTTCAGGAAATGTTTGTTGATTGAGCAAACGAATGGATGCCTCTCCTCTGTGATGAGAGAAGAACAGTGGGGCCTGGGGGAGATGGCCTGTGGAGACCTGTTCCAGCTTTGGCATCTCTCTCCCACTCCAGTGCATCATCCAGTCTTACCTGCAATGGCTCCAAGACAGCAACTATAACCCCAATTGCAGCCTGTGCAACATGCCCCTGACTGCCCGGGAGACCACCCGCCTCATCTGCTTCGGTGAGGTCTGGGCACTTTGCGGGGTAGCAAGGACAGCTTCGGGCCCCAACTTGCTCACTGGTTTCCAGGTCTTCCCTGAGAAACAGGACAGTGAGACTCCCCAGCCTGGGGGGCAGGAACCCTAGATTTAGTCTTCCTCATGGGAATTCAGGCAAGTCATTTCCCCTTTCTAGGCCCCATTGTCTTTCTCTAAACATTAAAGCCTCTAGTTCTGCCAGGCGTAGAGAGTTGAGGTAGACCAGACCAGCCAAGGGTGTGGTTGTAATCTGTCACTAGCCAGACAAGCACGGAGCTGTCACAATCAGGGTCTGTTATTGGTTCCAAGAGTGAAAGAGAGAGAGAGACTGAGCTTTCCATGTACAAGTCAGATCCTAAAAGATAGCAGTAGACACCTGGATCATGACCTTAACCTAGCTTTAGTATAAGAACCTTCCCTGCAGTTTAAGGATCTGGCTGTTACAGAGGAAGCACTTCCATCCAGGGAATGTGAGTGGATGTGAACTTGGGCAATAATAGAGCATACATTTCATTTCACCTAAGCGTCAAGGTGTTCATTAGCAGTTGTGTAGTGAACTGGTAAGCTTGCAGATTCGTGAATGTGACAGATGTGTTATGGGGCTGCAGGAGATTACATAGTTGAGTGTTACCAGGTGTGAGTCCATGAGCTAGTCCTTGTAAGCACTGAGGGGGCCAGGGCAGAAGGCACTTGTGTTTGAGTTTGTGAGCATGGGGATGTGTGTGTGTCTATGAGTCTTTCCTGGTCTCTTCTTGGTCAGCTGTTATCCCAGGGAACAGTGAGCGCTGTACAGAAAGGACTCACCACATGATTCATTGGCATTTCTCCCTACCCACCACCTCCCATGGGGAGATTACTGGTATTTGCCTCAGTCAGATGGTCACCAAGGAGTCTGAGGGCACCCTGGTGAAGTTAAAACTGGGGTGAGGCTAGAAAGGAGAGGTTTGGGGCATATGTCAGCATGAGCAAGTATTCCTGCATGGGGGTGCTAGGCAGGGTCATTAAGTGTCTTTTCCCTCATGCCCTTTTCCCTCTAACTGGCCTCAAGATCTCTTCCACTGGGCCTGCCTAAACGAGCGTGCCGCCCAGCTACCCCAAAACACAGCGCCTGCTGGCTACCAGTGCCCCAACTGCAATGGCCCCATCATTCCCCCGGCCAACATCGCTGGCCCCGTGGCCTCGGCGTTGAGGGAGAAGCTGACCACAGTCAACTGGGCACGGGCAGGACTGGGCCTTCCTCTGGTAAGGGTCCCCCTGTCTGACTGTCCCTCCGTTCTAGACCCCACTTGTGTCAGATGAGTGAGTGGGGCATCTTAGGATGGATTGATGACACAGGTCCTTCCTCCAGATCGACGAGGTGGAGAGCCCAGAGCCTGAGCCCCTCAACACCTCTGACTTCTCTGACTGGTCCAGCTTCAATAGTAAGTGGTGACTTTTTTTTATGCTTCTGAGGCCCTTGTTTCCTGGCTCTGATGGCAGCCCTTTTCCTGCCCCCAGCCAGTGGAACCCCTGGACAAGAGGAGACAGCCAGCGCCTCTGCTGTCACACCCTTGCACAGCCTGGCCCCTCAGCCCCCAGCCTCCTCAGACCGGCCTGAGCAGCACACGGTGATCCACATGGGTGGGCCCGAGCCCTTGACACACGGTGAGCCAGGGACCCGTCTGGGCTGGGAGAGGACAGTGGGGTGAAAGTGGAGGCAGCTCAGGGACCCAGAGCACCCTCCGGTGGCCCTGCTCGACTCGAGCACAAGCAGTACATTCTGCCATTTTGGGTGCTCTGTCCGGCCGAGAAAGTTGCCTCCCCTAGATCCTCTTTACTTGGCCTTGTCCCCTGGGTCTGCTGATGCTGGTGCCTTCATCCCTGCAGCCTCAGCGCCAAGGAAGGTGTATGACACGAGGGAAGACGATCGGGGACCGGGCCTCCTTGGTGACTGTGACGATGACAAGTACCGCCGCCGGCCTGCCTTGGGCTGGCTGGCCCAGCTGCTGAGGTCTGTAGAGCCGGGTGGGGCAGGAAGCCAGGATGGGGGGTGAGAGAAGCTGAGAGCCACAGGCCCCAAGTGGGACTGGGGCCTTGGGGGTAATATCTGAGTCTGATGTTTGGGTCTGTGCAGAGGCCTGGCTTGGCAGGGAGAGTCTTGAGTTGATCCCCGCTGGGGCCCCTTCTATTTGTTTCCCCTGCCTGTGACATTTGAGGTCTGGGCTCACTCTCTTGTGGAGCCCCTGTCCACTCTGACGACATTTCAGGTGTCTGAGCCAGTCAGCTGTACCCAGGCGGCTCACCTGTTTTGACCCTCATGGTAACCCACGTAGCGGGCACATATAAGCGTGAGCATTCCCCTGGCACAGATGAGGAAACTGAGGCTCAGGGCTAGTGGCGTTGGGGCCGGAAGATGAATGTTGTGGCCTGGGGCCTGACTGGACTTTCCCTCATCTTTCAGGAGCCGGGCCGGGCCTCGGAAGCGACCTCTGACCATGCTGCAGCGGGCAGGGCTGCTGCTGTTGCTTGGACTGCTGGGCTTCCTGGCCCTCCTGGCCCTCATGTCTCGCCTGGGCCGGGCCGCAGCCGACAGCGACCCCAACTTGGACCCACTTATGAACCCTCACATCCGTGTGGGGCCCTCCTGAGCTCTCAGCTGTGGCTGGGCCAGCCAAGGACCTGGGGGCCAGAGGCAGGGAGGCCTGGGGTCCTTCTTCCCAACCCTGTCCCTAAAGTCTGAGACACTACGAGCCCAGGCCTGAAGTTGAGTCCCCCAAATGGCTACAGGTAGGACCTGGGGTCCCCACAGCCCAAGCACTTGTCCTGACCTACTTCCCCTGGGCCTCTAGCCTCCTACCCCACCCACAAAGGAACTTATAGGTGGAAATAAACAACAGACTTTATTAAAACAGTTGGGCCGCCTTTTCCTTCCCCTCCCAGCCCACCCCCAGTTTCTAGGCCTCAGTGGTACTCTTTCCGGTACTGGATGGCCAGAAAGTCCAGGGAAAGGCGGTTGAAGAACATGACTCCGTTTAGCACTGGGCAGAAGGGAGAGAGCTCCCATCGGACTTAGACCCCTGGATCCTTTCCCTGCCCACCCCTCCCTGCCCTTCCCTTGTCCCCCACCTCTTAGAGTGCCAGAGGGCCCTCTGCCCCCAACTCACCCAGGATGGTCAGGGCAAAGAAGCGAAGATACCGGTCCCCTGTCATCTCAGCCTGCAGTGACCCCATGGCAGCCCAGCAGATGCTGATCACCTGGGAGAACTGGAGGCCCGTCCAGTGGGAGAGTGGCTCCCCGCTACAACAGTGGAGTTTCCATCAGGGTCCCCCAGCCAGCCCTCGAGCCCCCAGCCCTACTATCAGAATGATCGTGTAGCGGAAGCTCATGAGGTCGTAGCGGTGGGTGAAGTAGAAGTTGCCCACGTCGTTGATAAAGACGCTCAGGTGTACGAAGAAGAGCAGCAGCGCCGCCATGGTGAGGATGAGGCCTTGGGGGAAGAAGAGGATGGCGAGGCGGTCCCGCCACCACATCCTGACCGCGCGCAGACTCCGGCCCTGCCCAGGACAGCAGTGAGCCCCTTCTGTTCTAGAGTGGACTGTCAGAAGAGCAGCAAAGTTCTAGAACCAGCAAGGAAATAAAGGGGACTCCAGGACGCAGGCTGGTGTCTGCCAGCACAGGGCTGGGGGACCACGGAAGCACTCGTTAGGTGGGGAAGGGACAGCATCCCTTGGACCACCTTTCACACTTTGCACTCCCTGAGCCTCCTGGGTTTTCTCCACAGCCCCACACAGAAGGTGGTGTGTCACCTGCAGATGAAAGGATAGGGCTCAGAACAGCCAAGGGATAGATCCCAGTCCCCAAACAAGGACCCAAGTGTACATTCCCCCAAGTGTGGAATGGCCCTGGACTGAACCTCAAGTCCAGGTGTTTCTCCAGCCCCTGGTAGGGCACCTAGGGAAGGAGGGATCATGGTGTACTTTAGTACCAGTTCTCAGGAGCTTCCTCAGATGTGACCCAGCGAGCTTGTCACCATCTGCCCGATGTCCCTTTGCAATCCCATGCTGATCTGAGTTTTCCTCACAGGATCATGTCTCCAGCTGTCCTGTCCATCCTGCCGGCAGCACGGTGGTGGAGGAGGGGAGGCAGGGCTGGTGGGTGCCTCCTGCCTTGTGTTCACATGACGCACACAGGGTCTCAGCTCTGCTTTCACAGCCCGTGAATAGGAGTCAGTGTTCCAACAGATCGGATTCTATGTGAGGCTCCGGAATAAACGGGGTCAAGAAGGCAAAAAGGTTCTCTATGTGAGAGATGAAAACTCCAGGTTTTGGAAAAGCAGCCTAAGATGATGTGGCGGAACCTTGAGCTCTCAAGAATTGAAATAGAAGGGAGGCGGACAGGATATAATGTTGAACTCAGACACCCTGTTGTCTCCTGCCTGACTACCAGCTCTGCAAACTACTTCCCAGGTCAGCCAAGCTTTCCACACACTAAACTAGAGCTCCAGGTCCTGCACTCACTATCTGTACCTGCTGCCCAGTCAGTCAGCAATCAATCTCAGGTGATCATCTAACCACATTAAAGAAGGTGATGCCATCAGTGTCCAAACACAGTCCCACTCCTGGAAAGTGTTGCCGGTTGGTCATCATTTGAATGCAAGTGGTCTTTGGTACAGTGTTGTTGTTGATTGCCATCAAGTTGAGCACAACTCATACTCTATGAACAAAAGATCTAATGACTTTCCATAACTATCGTCATTTCTCCAAGTTCATAGAGTTTCCAGAAGCATGTGGTTTAGGTAGTGGATGCCACTCCTGCTTCCAAACCTGTTTTCCAACTGGGAGCTCCACCAAACACTGTCCACATTGGGAAACCATTCTGGTATTTGAACCCCAATAGTACAAGGTTCAGCATCACAGCAACCCAGGTTACTTAATACTTCATTGACCAAGAGTGATGTACAAAGTGGAATTGTGTTTCTCCTGATGTAACAGCACTGGTTCATTTAACAGTGGATAAGTGTCAGCAAGTTGAATATAACTGAATAGGTTTTGCACCAAAGACCTGAACTCTGTTCTATAGCTAACATTTCTGTACATTTGTGGAGTTTTCAGAGGCATCTAGTTGAGGAGGTGGATGCTGCTCCTGCTTCCCAGCATAAATCAATCTGGAAGCTCATTCAAACATTGGACATAATGGGTAACCATTATGGTATCTGACAAGACTATGAAACAGTGTGCAGCATCACAGCAACACCAAGTTGTTCAGTTCAACAAATAAAAGATTGCTGTATCATGTAAGGAATATTCATTCAAAACAGCCCTTGGGGCCTGCGGGGTTATAAAGCCCAACCTTTGAGCAGACTTCCACCCTAGGCAAAGGCTCGAGGACACCCACTCTTGGGGGGCGGGGGGAAAGAGCTGTAATACACATCGGACATAATCCTGAAAACTTCCCTTACGTGCCCATCAGGACTGCCATCGAATGCAGCAAATAGCCAAATTCCCAGAATGGAGACTCCAGGCCCAGGCCAGCAGTCCCATCCCCTTCCCCTGCGGGGATGATACAATAAGGTTCCTAAATAGCTTAATGCTGTTTAAAGATACTCCAAGTGAATAATGAATGTGGTTTTAACAAGATTTGGATAGTATTCAGATACACAGTGCAAGGAAACAGAGCATGGTTCTAAGTTAGGAAAGAAGTGTGTCAAGGATGTGTCGTGTCTTCATACTTTTTCAATCTGTATGCAAAACAGATCATTCAAGAGGTTGGACTTAATGAATATGGCATCAGGATTTAAGAAAGACTCATTAATAGTTTGCATTATGCATATGACATAACCTTGTTCACTTAAACTGAATAGGACTTGAAGCATTTGCTGCAAACAGTCAAAGATTACTGTCTTTAATATGGATTGAAACTCAACATCAAGAAAACAAAACCTAAAGCCAGGAGAAAATAAAATAGATAAATGGCCCTTCTAAGAATCAATTCTCTCTGTTGTTGTTG